AGTTTAGCTCTAAGGCTAGCAATCCAAGATAGACATTAGAAAAAAAAAAAAAAAAAAACGAAAGCATTTGAACAAAAGTTGAAATGTTTGGTTTTGTCTATTTGTTTTTTTTCATCAGGTCACCAAAACATGCTCTTGTATATTGCTACAAGGAAGTCATTAGCGGGTTTGCTGCAGAACTCACCCATGAAGAGGCTGAGAAATTAAAAGGTACGTACGATTGTTCAACAAAGAAAACGAAAGATATACATTTACACTAAATGCAAAGACGACACATTATAAACCCAATTTTTACTGTCAATTCGTTGAGCAGCTAGTGCTGCTGGTTAATGTGACCATGATGAATCTCTGATTACAAGACAATCAAAATACATTTGGTTTGTACCAAATATTATGTCGTACTAACTAATTTGTAAAACTGAACAACCAAATTATATTTGTTAAGTTCTAAATGTTTTTTTTTATTAATATATAAAATTGTGTGCAGGTGAGAAAGGGGTTTATGGTGTAGACGAAGAAATTGTATACTACATGGACGACGAATCCCGTAGCCATAAGTTGTTGCCAATGAATATTAATAACTAGTTACTTTAAAATTGTAAGGATTTTTCTTTTGGTTTGGGTAAATTACACTTGTAAGGTTCACTTGAAATCTTGGAAATAACTAAAAACAAAAGCAAAGATATTTTGATATAAAATGCATTAAAGAACTAAATTTAATGAGTCTAAACACTGCTAAACAGTTCTGAAGCTTATTTTATTTAAAAGTTTTCCGTAGTCCAGCGAAAACTAGTTTAAGACGATTTCATGAAAAGTATAAAAACATAAAAATTGGTTAAGAACACATAACATAGATGTCCTTCAATTTCATCCCCTTTAATTAACACAAGAAAGTGAAAACAATTATGTACTTGATTTACTTAGAGCTGTAAATTATGTAGGCTGTTTAGGTTGTCCCAACCCTAATATTGCAACCAATCAATTAAAAAATGGTCTCCATTTTATTATACATGCAGTGTTGTCAAATGTTCGAATTTGAACTTATAATCCACTGGGGTACACGTATAGGATTCGGTGTCTGGATAAGAAAAAGGAGCAAGTGCTTCTTGTTGAGCTTTAGGGAAACACAAGGAACACTAAAGTTTTGTCATCTCTTTTTTTTTTGTTTTATACTGTTTAGGTATTGTTATCTAGTAATTTTGTGTTTTCTTAAATTATGTATATCTCGATATACAAATTTCTTCTTTATACTACATCAGTTCGACTAAAATGGTTTAACGGCTAAAATGGATGAGAAAGCTGTGACTAAAATGGTTTAACGACCATCTTTTGAAAACAAAGTATAAATTGCTGATCAGTCTTTAGTTTTTTTTTTTTTTTTTTTTTGAAAACCTTGCTCAGTCTTTAGAAAAAATTAAAATGGCTTTGGTGAACAAAAGAAGAAGAAGAATATTATGGCTAAAATCAAATTTAGGCTTTTATGGAAGTCAACCTTTAGGTTCGTCGACCAACAAGACCAAGAAGACAATAATTAGTGATGCTCAAGTTAGGATAGTACTGTAGTTATAAAAAATGAACGATGTGTTAGTAGTATATAAGGTTGAAGCTTGATCAGGTTACGAAGCCCAAATCGGCTTTGAATATGTCCTTTAAAATTGGATCGTCATTCGATTTCGTCGTCTAGGTCTAATGTACGGTTTTAAATATGTTTGCTCGTTCACAAGTTTGTATACCAACAAATTATGACAATAATGATAAATTAGGCACGGCATATTATTTATATAACAGATTTTTTTTAATAAAAAAAAACTAATATAGAAAGCAATTATAATTTGAAATTGAGAATATCAACGTACTATACATTATCATCAACCAGCCAAAATAAAGTATATATATATGCGCAAAAGCATCAACATATTATATACCCAAGTCCGAATCCTACTTATAACTGCAATTACTATGTGCAATGTATCTTAACATTCTAACCATGTGACCAAAAAATATATACATGCAATGTCAACTTTGCATAATAAAAGATCCAAACGGTATATTGATCCAAGGTTGGGGAGCAGAGAGCATTTGTAGCTAAGAGCTTCTTTAACCCTCAAGCTATGGCTCTCCTTGACTTATAAGGGATCTAATCCTCTTTTCATAAGGCTGCCTCTCTCTCTCTCTCTCATCTTTAGTCTCTTATCTCTATCTCTAAGTCTTTTTGACATTCTTGATGGTGTCCATTACTTGGGAAAGTTTACAAATGGATGATATATGAAGATGAATGGTGTCCTCAATCCCCATGAAGGACACGTATCATCCCATTCAGATCTTTCTTCTTACATTTTCCTTTTTTTTTTCTGCAGTCGAATTATTCCTTGCGTGAGAGTAGCGTATACCATTGGTTTAGTATACTTTGATTTAATTTACATTTGTACTGATAATTCTAAATGTTTTGTTAGATGTACAGATACAAACGGATCGGATCATGCATGCATGTGGTGTATCTTTGCAGAGACTGTCTTAAAAAGCATAGTCAAACAAATAACCGATAAAAAGAATATTAGGACAAATACCCATCACACGTATTGACATTATGTTCTATCGGTTGAGTTCCGTTTAATAGATTCACAATACATTTATTATCTGTATGGCCTAATTGTTCTCGTGGTGAAATGGTATTACTTAGGCTTTTTGACGAATATATATATGTAAAAGAACTCTCTTTTTTGCCTTATAGGCTTCTACGCGACCTTTTCAGCACAGCTCGTATTTTGTATACCTTTCTCAATTAAACGGAAAAGCAAATACTAAAGAAAAACCATAGGAACCGAAGTATCATAGTCGACCAAAGCCTTAATTCATATCGACCAAAGCCTTGTAATGCAATTCGAGACTTCAAACGGATTTTGGTGGAAAACAAGTTAGAGTTACTTTTGTCTTGTATTGTCATGCGGAAGATTCAGACTGGAAAATTTTGTATTTGGGATATTCTAGTTTTAAGGGACACGTTAGTTGTGTTTAAGATTACATAATGAATAATTTAGCCCTATATAATAATATTCAAATGGGGATCTGAAAGGTCTTATTACACTAATAATATATAGATCATTTGTTAAACCATCCATATTGGCATGTCTATACCCCTTTACATAAGTTTCTTTTCCGAAAAAAAAGTATTTTTGTGTATCGATTACGGTTGATTATAGTTGGTAAAGTAGCCGACTATTTAATAGACTAATCGGTAAATTAATCAATTGACCGGTTTAAGAATTAATGTATACACTATACCGGCACTCAGCATCTAGTGTCTTGACTCTTGATTGGCGATTAATCGGTTGATTAGTCAGATAACCAACCAATTCAATCATAAATGCTACCAGAAATGGGAAATATTTTATATCACGGAATTACCAAAAACGAAATTAGAATAATGTTTTTTTGTTGTTTTTAATATTGTTTCAAACAGTATAGTCAAAGCTGTCACAAGTGGTTAACAGTGTCTATAAATAAGGTTATAGTAGAGTAAGTCCCATACCTCCTCAACACAAACAACTTCTCAGTAACTTCTCGTTTCTTTCTTTTCTCTACTTTATCAGTTGAACATATATCACTTAGCTACAAAGAATAATCCTTTAACATATAAACACATTAGTAAACACTACACACAAACAAGTAGACAACATAAAGTTGAAAAGAGTGTGCGGTGATGGACAAGAAAAAGTCAGTATATGGTTCCTCTTCATCGTCCTCTTCATCTTTGGATCATATTTTTGGTCCAAGAGTCTCCCCTTCGTCTTCGTCATCATCAACAACAGGATTGTTCAATTCTATTTTCCCACCACCCTCAACGGTATGAAATATAAATCAGTATCATCATCATCATCATCATCATCATCATCATCATCATCATCATCATCATCATCTATACTAAAAGACATATATCGGTTTCATATATTTTTTACTTTGTTCTCAACTCTAGGAGACGCAGACCAACTTGGGAAGTCGAAATGGAGCTGCCAAATATCAACCTACAAATTTGAGGATTCCAAGTGAGTTTACTGCTTACTCTAGTTAAGAGTTTTTGGACGTATTAGTCCTTAAAGTTTGGTAATCTGCTACACTTATAGTTAAAAATGAAGTGAAGTATAATGTGAATAACATCTTAATTATGATGATCTTCACCTTGGAGCTTAGTTAATAAAAGTGAGAAATGTGAATAATGGTATACAGATGAAAGAGGAGAAAGGAGCAAAAATAAAGAGAGAAAGAGTTACCAAAATGAAGAAACACAACCACCATGCAACTTAAGCTCATCCATATACTATGGAGGACAGGATAACTATTCCTCTTCAACTACCAACCCTGATGCTGTAAGTCCCTATTTCATTACCAAGATAATTTGGTTGAGTATCAACAAAAACACTAATTTGCATAGTACAAGAAAACAGCGTTTTCCAAACGGAAATGGATATCTCTGAGCTTATATGTATTATCAATTGTATATGTTCATTTTGGATATAATATATCTAACTCTGTATATACTTCATCATGTTCATATTAACTCTAATAAACTAGCTAATTCTGAGTCGTACATACAGTATAAGAAAGATGGAGAAGAAGGCGATTCTGAAAGTGCTCCAAGAGGAAACTGGTGGGATGGTAAGACAACGAACATTTTTTCCATCATTTTCCATCATATAAATGCAGATACATTTTTGTGACATACTAATTTACATTGATCATTTATATATGAGAAACTCACTTAAAGATCATAAAAAAATGCAGGGTCCCTTTATTACTAATTAACAAACCCTAGCTGATGATGCACGATAGCGGCTAAAGTGCTAAGGTACATGCATATATACATCATAAATTTTTAAAACTGAAAGTGAATGTTTCAGGATTATTACAAAAAATTGTGTATTTTGCAGATCTTTTGTTGTTGAGATTAGATTTTTATATCATATTAACCTTGCCTTACAGGATTTTCAATTAGTAATTACTCTTTGATATACAGTTCTCTCGTATTTATATATATTTTGTTTAAAAAAATTGTGATCATTTTGCAGGGACCTTAATTAAGTGAATAATGGAAGTTGCCGTATCGAAATATACCTACAAATGTAAAAAAGAAAATGAAAAAAAAAATATAGCGACATAAGAAAGAAAAGTATCAAAAAGAGTGGATATCTTACTGTATGAGATGAAGCTAAAAGTCTACATAAAAGGGCTAAGGCTTGACATGTTGGTTCTTCATGTTCGACAAAGGCAACAAGTTTTAGACAAGTCTCTTTATAATGAAATCAACGTCTGTCCAAATATCTTTATATTTAAAATTTGATATGTAATTCGATATCATGCTGTTTCGTATGTAATAATTTTATATCCCTATTAATCAAATATCCAAAAGAACGTAATCAAACATAACTAAGTGAGCTAGCGAAGGACATTGACGATAAGGTCGGCCCAATAGTCAATGTTTGGGGCCTGAGAGGGATAAAAAGAATAGAAGGAGAAACAAAAAGAAACGCCGCTGCCGGGGATCGAACCCGGGTCACCCGCGTGACAGGCGGGAATACTTACCACTATACTACAACGACTTTGTTGACTCATTCCACTAAACTAATTATATAAAGTATCTAGTTTAACAAATTGAACTATATAAAAAAAGAACAGAAATTCATCGAACTCAACTCCAGTATTCAGATTCGTCTCATCCAGGATAAACATTTTAAATCGTTTTTGTGACGATTTTGAATGAGAAGAAGTTAAATCTAGGAGGAGGACTATAACCTTTTTTCATAACTGAAATAGAACCATAATGCCAAACATGCAAACACAAGAAACTAGAATGAAAACAAAGAGACTCTTCCGAACGATTCATGTTTCCGAGGCTTTGACCATTGACGGTTCAAACAAGTAGTGGTATACTACTGCTTGCTATTGCGGGGATAAAGCACACAAAATGACTAATAGGTCGCACGTGCCGCACTCGTGTCTAACACGGTTACACCGCACCACACATGGTCGTTGTGATAGAAAGAAACAGTTGGCGTCGCACGTGCTATAGCATTGCAAAACCGAGTGAACGAGAAAGAATCATTCCTTTTGCATGTGGCGGGACTCTATATTTTTTTTGGGGCCATCCATCCTCTTTGCTTCGAGAGTTTCTAAACTCGAAAGAATCCATTTGTATTATTTTATTACTTCATTGATTGATTTGTTTCAAATGACTACATAGCTCATAGTTTCTGTATTATCAAATTTACGACTGGACATGGTGTTCAAAAATGTTAACTTCGAGTCGTTTACAAATTATATTTCTATCGTTTATTGTGTTGATATCTTATATCTCTATAATATAGTGATCATTTTAGTTAGTTGTATTAATTATTAGAAAAGATTAATAAAGTTTGCTTTTAGTTGCGTCGGTCGTCATTAGATCTAGTGGAAACTGGATCGTAGATTCATTATAATTCTTTGAGAATTTAAGATCATGCCAAAGGTGAATAGGCGATTGCTGATATCATATTTCATGTAGCTTTTCGTACTTAATTTTTTTAATAGAAAGTAAGTGGATAACAACAAGTGTGTGTATATTGATATAATTCATTAGTGAATATTAGTCTTCTCATATCTTGTAATCTAGGTATACCTAAATATACTGATACCATATTTTTGCATATATACATAAGACGAATGTCTCATTTCCTAGAAGAAAAAAAAAAGAAGTTAACAGATATTTTGAAGACGAAAAAAAAAAAAGCAGTATAGGAAAGAAGAAGTAGATAACTTGAGGTTCACGAGATTGAAATAAGGGGGACGAGTGAGTACGTTGGAACAGCTAAATCCACGAAAAAGAGGACAAAGCATATGATTAAAGATGGTCAGTTTAAGATTCTCCTTCCTATGCAACTATTCTTAATATAGTAATACAACTATATCTAATTTAATCAGTCTCTCCCTCCGAAACTCGTTCAAAAATTATTTCAGCTGACTTTTAATCTAACCAATTTATTTTGTATATGAGAGTAACATTATAGGGAGTATATTGATTAGGGTATGTTAGCATTAATTTAGTATTAATGAAAAAGTAGAGTTTAAAAGTTTTGATTTTGTTTTTAATTAAATAAATTTATAATTTGTAATATAAGAAAATTAACTTGTGTTTTCTATGTATAGCTAATTTTATTGGGTTTTTTCTTAACATCGATTCATCAACTTCATAATTAAATTTGAAAATTGTTATGTCATAATATAATTATCAACTTATCCAATCCATATAAACTATAGTAATGTCATAATAACTGGTTTACAAAAACAAAAATTAAAAAAATTTTAAAAAATTGTAATGTCATAATTAAAAATAAACCTTACCCAATCCGATTGCGCCACGTAACGTTTCTTAACCCATCAAAAGAATCATTCTCCAACTCACGTATGTTAGCCATATCAATGAATTTTGATTTATATTTAAAAGCTTAATACCCTTAAATACTCTTTAAAACCTCAATGTTGGTCTGAGTCGAAAAGATGAGTTGGAATGTTGGAATATTGTCTATAAGCTATTGATTACCGGATTGAACCGGACAAATCAAGGGGTTAGCGTGTATCAACCAACTTTTAAAGAAATAAAAAAGATCTACAATAGAAAAAAGAACTAAAATAAAACTTTATTTGAATATACTATGTCATTTTGATTTTTTGTTTGTTGTAGTGGCATATGAGAATTTTTTTTATAAAAAAAAGAACGCTTCAGAAATCAGAAGATGTCACTTTGTGATAAAATTCATATGAATTACTAATTATATACTATTTCTCTATATATATATATAAATATACGTAACTAAAAAATTGTAAAGACACAAAATCGTTGCGTGGGATGGTTTCTTATGATCGTGTATAGAAGACAGGAATAAGGAAGTAGACTTGGTAATGACATAGGGTCCCTTGTTACAGGGCATAGAAGAGGAGGTGCCAGGGTAAGGTTTTAGTGACAACACAATATATTGAAATAGACCGTTGGTATATAATCTTCCTGTCATTTTATTCCATCCATCCCAACGAGACTTTCGGCGGGAAATTCGAAATGACATTTCCAGATTTTCTGGTTTTTTTTTCTTTTTTTTTGTCTTTGTTAGTCCACTCCCACTCACTTATAGCTTGTTAGTACATATCACTCAGTTTAAAATTCGGGGATACGGTGAATAGCTCCTCTCCCCAACCATTGTTTCTCAATTGTTATCTTATAGTATATTGGGAGGAAAATTATAAATAAAATGTGGTTTCGTAAAGTATTTGTTGGAATGAAGAAGGCAGAGAGAGAGAGGGAGAGAAAAGACAGCTTCTGTAAAAGCATTTGCTGGCGGGCAGAGACAAACACAACCCCACCCACCTTCACTTCACTTGCTTCCCTCCCCCACTCTCACTCTTTCTCGCGCGTGTCTTTATATTTATATCATCTCTTTCACTTCCATAAATAAAACTCTCTTTGCCCATAAATAATTTCAATTTATTTTTTTTATCCATTGTATTATTCTAACACTTTTTTATTTAATTTTATTTTGAGGGTGTTATAAAAATCTCTCATTATATATTGCCCATAATTGCATGTTTTATATTAGTACTCCTAGCTACCCAGTCGTAAATTACGGGAATAAAACTGGATTCCAGCTTACAAACTCAACTTTTTGTTGTTGTTGTTGTGATCAGAAAACCAACCAGCTTTCTTCACTGGTTTTGTAACAGGTTATTATTATAAAGCTTATGTTGGGTGCTCTAGTATATATCTATCTGGTAGTATAACATAGAATAATACAAACACTGTATCGACAATACGAGAGTAGACTCCGGAGACAAGAGAAGACAACTAGAGGGGGGCACAATTTTTGGAGTAACTTAAGACATTACAAACATATTATTTAAACATAAAAAACTTTCTTTTTCAGAGTATATATCATCGTTTTTAAAATAATAATAAGAATTGGGGTTGGGGATATTCGAAAGAGAAGAGGGGAGAAGATATGTTCCCGCTACTTTGTGCTTTTGACTTAACGAAGGGGAGGGAGCTGTCCTTATCGGCAGATTAAACCTCTACCCCACCCCATCCATCCTATCTCTCTTTTTATTTTCTTTTGTGTTGAGTGTTGTGTAGTTGTGTACCCTAAAATGATCCAAAGGCGGGGAAAAGTTGTTATCCAATTCAGTTTATTGACCGGTTTAGAATCCGTCGTTAACGTCTGTTATCACGGCTCATTCTTCTGACCCAACGAAAACTCGATTCATTCTGACGGGAAGGAGACGGACCTGTTCAAAATCCGTTACGTCAGAGACGGAGAGAGGGACGGGTGACTGATTTTGAAAATCTTCTGACTTTCAGCCACCTCTCACCCTTTTTGTTTCAAATACTTCCCTTCAGTTATTGGTCACGAGATTTCTATGAACTTAATTATAAATAAACTTACAAATAAATAATGAAAATAACCCTAGAAAATAGTACTAGTAACAAAATAGATAGGGGTTTTCAATGGGTCGCACTTGGTAAATTAGTGGCAATACTGATTAAACGTGATTCTTACTAGTAATTTCCAACTCATAAATACTACTACTAATTATGACCCAAAAAAACATAATACTACTACTAAAAGGAGCTACGAGTATATATGAATTAAGCAGGAAAACCTACTATTATTAGTGATGTGGGAAAGGAGCTTAAAATGATGAGAATGGATTTTGCATCAAAGGGAAAAACAAAAACAAAAAAAAAAAGAGAAGAGGGAATGCGTAATTATCAAGTGTTCGTTCGTTGCTTTTTATAATTTTTGAATCCCCCACACAACTAAAATACTACTATTATTATTTTAAACTTTATACTATACAGTATACTAGCAAACTATAAAGACTGAGATTTTATTTTAGTGTTTTTAATAAGTAGTACTATTTACTATATAGTAAAACATTAGTACATTAGAAGAAGAAGAAAACATTGGAGCTGTAAAAATGACAACTTGTTTGGGATTAAGTGGGTTCCACCTGTTATTTTCTCATGCCCTTTCGCATTTCCTCATTTTATATCTCCTTCTATCTTTTATACTAATACAAAATGGAAAATACATCGACATATTTGCTAAATTATATTCTCAAATTATCTTTTTGCAATACGAGTCTTATCATGTGCCATTAAAAAAAAAAAACAATTTCTTAGTTGAGTTTGAATCCAAATGATATATAGTACATCAAATATATTTAGATGCGATGGTTTTCTTAAAGATGTACTTGCTAATATGATGGACTAGTAATTTCTTTATTTTAAAAAAAAAGTAACAATACAAGAAGTACTATTGTTGTTTTGTTTCATTTGGTTTCCAAGGCAAAATAGTTAAAAGAAAGACCGAAGGAAATTAGATTTTTTGAGTTTTCGTCCATCACGCATTAATTACGGATAGTTTTATATAAGTATATTATTAGAATAAATGGAAGAAAAAAGCAGAAGTGAAATTAAAGTGCTTTTGAGCTGTCTCATAGAAACCCTGAAACCTTAATAAAAGCAACCATGTCTTCAACATTCTCCACCTTCCTCCTCACTTCACACCTCTCTCTCTCCTTCCTCTGCTTCGTCTTCTATGTCTCGCCTCCTCCCTCCTCCTCCTTTTCTCTCCGTCAACCTCCCCGTCATGGAGAAATCCCCTGCTTCAGAGTTAACCCCTACTCGACTCGGTTTCCCTAACGAGTTCCCTTACGAGTTTGACTCTCCTTCCTTCTCCCCTGGTTTCACTTCTCCCGGTGACTCCACCGAGACTGAAGACGAGAGCAGCGACGACGAGGAAGACTTCCTCGCTGGTTTGAGTCGCCGGCTCGCCCCTTCTACTCAGCGTCTTGCTCCTCCTACTCCTCTCTTCAAGACTGAGGTATGCGATACTCCACGAACGACATCTCTCTTCTTTCTCTTTACTAAATCTACGTACTCATCATGCTTACTGCTTCTTCTGTGTCTTTCTTCTCGGCAGGAGAAACGTCGAGCAGCAGCTACTTCGCCTCAGTCGACACTGAGTGGACTCGGAAGCTTTTCAAACTCTGGAAGTAGAAGTCCTATCCTTCCATCCCCACCGGCTCCTACTACGTCTTCCCGTAGAGACAATGCTTGGGATGTGATCTCTGCAGCTGCTGGAGAAGTTGCTAGACTCAAGCTCGGAAGCTACGAGCCTAATCATCTTCCTCTCCAAACCCCTGAGTCTCTACTCCGCCGTCAAAACGCTGCGATTCTTGCTGAACTCCAGCAGCAGCGTCTCGTTGACCACTTGTGGCTCTGTTCTCAGTCAAGAATCCAGAAGAGAGTTGTTAACGAAGATGTCCTGTTCGAGAATCCGAGATACGTAAGACAGAACATCAACGCTCTATCCAACCGTACATGGATGCCACCACAACACGCTGTAGCTCCCCTGAAGCGTCCTTCTGTCGGTACCGGAGTTTTCCTCCCCCGGCGATACCCAACAACGACTCCTTCCGATTCTCAGAAAAAAACAGGTATGATGTCTTCAACATTCTGTTTGTAATAATAAGTCTTGATACGCCAGAGAGGTTCTAATTTCATCCCTTGCATCTTTGTAGCAGTCAACACTCCAGCTGTGTTGCAATCAAAAGTCAATCAGCAGAATCTAACCTTTGATGAGTTCAACAATGTTGTCGGGGCAAGGCTTAGCCTGTTCGATTATGGTAATTACTAATTACCCTCAATTACTACAAACCTTTACACATGAGCAAAAACAGAGCTTTTGAGCTAACAACTACTGTTTCTTATGATTTGAACAGAGTGCATGTTGGCAAGAAGAGCACTACTTGCTCGGCAGGGAAATTTCAGAGCAGTTAGTGGTGGTTGTCTGAACCAAGAAAGACGTCTTCCTCAGGATTGGATGTACTGATGATGATGAGGATTGGGTTTAATCTTTGATTGTTTTGGTCTGAAAGAAGGAGCGGTTAGTTTAGGAGTTGTTTGGGTGTAGGCTATAATGTTATGATTATTATTAGTAGCAATAAGGGATATGATAATGAAGAATAAATTAGGGGATATTATTATTAAGTGTGTAACATTATAATATAAATGTATTTTTAGTTACTAAGACAAAGCTCTCTGTAATTTTTTTTTGTTGACCTTGGGAGGGTTTAAGGGAGTGGAGTGGGGAGAGTGGGGTATTTTTTGTTTTTGGTTTTCACTTTTAGTCGACGGTGAAATTCAAAATATGTGTTGGGTGGGATTTGTTATTTGTGTTACTTAAATAGTGTTTTCTGCTATTTTTGGAAAAATCTAATGGGGTTGTAATAAAAACATCGGAATTATTTTGTTTGTTGATTAATTATTACCTTTTATTTATCATTCATTTCTTACTAGTGTACTTGGATTAATGTACGTACATCATGAGTTGTGATTGAGCAATGTTACGGCTTGTATAACGTGTGCTCGTTGAAAATTTAGAACAAAACAGTGGTTACAATATCAATGAACTTAACTATAGCTTAGTATAGTGTACTTCGATTGTTGGAAAAAATCAAATCAAATGGGGTTGGATACTTAGATTTTTTGAAAAATGAAAAAAGATAAAGAAGCATGACGACATGGAAACATGGAAAAAGCAAAAAATAAAATAAAAGAAGATCTGAAAGAAAGAAAAGAGAAGCCAAAGAGTTGAATTGCGTAGGCGTGAAGCAGTGGGCAATGCAGCACAGACTTTGAAATACGGAACACCTTTTTTTTTTTTACTTTTTTTTTTTTTTTTATGTCTTGTGTAATTCACTGATCTATTATTATTGATTGTCTACTGTACATATCGGTGGGGTGTAGGATTTAAACAAAAACTCTGCTTTTTTTATACTCTTTGATATTTATCGGTTTAAACTTTATTATATACACTGTCGGTTCAACTATTATATTATAGTACAAAAGATTCATTATTTTTCTAATATTAAAACTGTTATTTGATACATGCTTTAATTGATAAGTTGATACGATGTGTTAATAGTAGGGTTGTGTGTCAACAGAACAAAGCTAGGACTATAGTGTCCCGTAATCAAATTTTGATTTTCAAATTTCGAAAAAAATTCAGTGTTTGGTGGTTGTGGTTGTGATGTTGTGATGTAGGTCCATTTAGTTTTTGACATTTGAAGATGTTATGGTTTCAATTTCAGGATGTAAATAGTAGGGTTAGTATTGAGGTTCTGACCCCCCAAAAAAAGGAAAGTAGTATGTTGAAACTTGAAAGTAATCCAAGGGGGTTTATTAGCGTTTCAATTACAATTAGATGAGTTTAAAAGCAATCACTAATGGTATTTTTCTAACGTATTCGTATGCATGTTTGCTGTGTTTTTCTAAATCTCAGTTAATTGGTGCCAAATTCTAGACAGTTTTGGCACCAATGACACCGGCCAAAAGTTAAAAATAGCTTAAAAAAAGTTAAAAATAATGATAGGCGTTGATTGTTGCACACAATCCGGATAGAGCCAAACAGGAGTCACATTTCTCATTCAAACCTTGAACCATAATGCGTTGTTTTTACTTATTTGCTAGCTACATCCCATTTTTAGGACTTTCAATTTCAAACCTCTTTAAGATAGGAGTCGGGAAAGAAACAAAACAAGTGAAGCCACACAAATCTATAAGACAAAAAGAGTAGTGTAGTATAAAACATGTGTTTTGGTTTGGGATATGTGAATCCATGCAGCTTTCTCATTTGACCCGGTCAAATTTCGAATTTAATGTTATACATGTATGTTTGGTTTTTATATTATTAAATACATGACTAAGATATATATGGTTTTTTTTTTATGTTTACTTCCCAACGAATGGATGTCACATACTTTGCATTAACCGTATTCGTAGTATCATAGTTAAGCTTTTCAAGAAAAATCATTCCCAAACCAATTAGTAAGCACGCATGTAATATATATTCACCAACATGATCGGGGATGCTTGCATGATTAGGAGTGCAAATTATGTAAGTCAGAATTATTGTAGAAACTGATGATGGGTTAAATAACCAAGCTATACGAGAAAACTGTTCTTTTAAAATTATACGCTATGTGATATCCTAAAATGAATATAACTAGTTTTAATACGAATCTTAGTTTAGACGCATATTTGTATATTGAGTTATCAAATCTTGAAAATTTTAAATCAAACGATAGATGCATGTCTATACTGAAACTAAACAAAGCTAATAAATTCAAAAGACACTGATAAGATTTGGATTAGTTTCGTTTTTTTTTTTTTTTTTTTTTTTTTTTTGTCAACCATTTGGATTAGTTCCTTCTAATTGGGTTAAAGTTTTTTTTTGTGAGACAAAACAAACAAACTTAGAAAAACAAAGAAAAGCACCATAGTATAGTAGTAAAAATAGCCACTCCTATGAGATTAGGTGACGGTGGAAGCTTATTATTATGTTTTTGGTAGGTCATCATTGTTGTCTTGCTGATAAAATTTCCGAAAATAATTTAGGTAATAATTATTTCAAACATTATGTGTCTTATCAGAGGACGACAAAGGCGTCCATAAATATGGAAGCAGTGTGAGTAAAGCAAAAGCCATAAATCAATCTTCGTTATCTTGTGATTCATCGGGGAATTTGGATTCCTTTCTAAGCTTTTACATTTGTGGACGCTTTGTCGCCCTCTGATCATTTGTATGGCTAAATTCAACAATAAAACTATAATTACAAACGGAGATATGATTTTTTAAAAATTGGATTACGTATAAAACTTAGCCAAAGTTGCAAACTAAGCTAGAATTTTCCTTAGGAATTAGACACCCTAAAGTGAATAGTTTTCTAAAATAAAATTATAACATTTAAACCATTGATTCGACTTGGTGGTTGAACCAAGCACAAGAGAGACGTTACTATTATTTTTATTTTTTTGCTAAATTCATAAATATCATATAAAATGAAAGAAGGCATTACATGAAAGAAAACCTAAGAATTTGTGCTCTGGCACAAAAGATAAAAACAAAGCACAATTCCAATACTTGACATTTCTAAGGAAGAAAGAAAGGAAAGAGAAGAAAATCTAAAACGAAGCCACATTATCGTAGGAAAGACGTCACTGTTGGTCGTAGCCTCGTAGGAAAGCACCGGAACCATCTCAAGCAACTCTTCAAATCTTCTTTCTTCGAGATAACTTCCAAACCTTACGACCATATAATTTCTCTAAAGTATTTGTGTTTTTAAGCACGAGTTCCATGAACAAAGCCATGTGCGTCGGCGTCGATTCAAATTTTTTGCGGATAATGTTCTTAAAGACCTAAGCTTCCGAGCTCCAGGTTTTATCAGTTTTCGAGCCATGCCATTAGTTTTCATTTATGCAAACAAAGTGTCAAGGATTACTAAATTTTTGACAATAGTTAGAATGGTGTAAGGAAAATAATAGAGGATTATATTTATGGTAAATACACCGGTTAGCTTCTTTAACTCACGTGAGATTTGTAACAAATTTCCTATACCACGAATCGCATATTGAGAAATCATTGTCTCAAATGTCAAAGCTTTGAATTTGAACAACGGAAGCGGAACACGACAAAGCTCGACAAGAGATCAAATCTAACCAACAAAAAAAAGCACAAACATATGTAAAGAACACCAAAATACATACTTAACTAGCACGTAAGCAATACAAGAATCATTGATGATCATTAGCATATAACAGTAAACCCTCTATAGGAGTCGTGACCATGATAAACATCAGTTTACCATTTTTTGCCGGAGGAGGCTCCTTTGCTTCATCGTCATCCATTTTTATCGATGATCATCCATTTTTATCGATGATGATAAACGTTCTTTGGGGGATCCATTTGATATCTTTCTGACCTTTAATAGATGCAAAATGGAGTAACGAACAGGGCCTTAGACACTTCTTGATGACCCTTCCATACATCTGCTGGTTAACGTCTGACTTCCAGTAACGGCATTGTCTGTTCTCCCAAGTAAGAGTTTAGCTATCACAGCCAATTTGTTCCCATGAACCTCCTATGCAGACATTATCATAAATTTCCTCCTCATCTGCATTGTAAAAATCATTTTCATGATACAACATTAGACAAATTTCAAAACACATAAATCAGATAGTAATCATCTGATTTTGTTTTTTATTTCTTTTTTTTTTGGAGAAACGTTTTTTCTAAGAATGGGAAAGCTCATAGAAAAGTTTACGTATCGATTGGCTTATATATTTGCAGACGAAGTGACCATCAATCAAATATTAATATTCCAGTAAACATAAATAAAAAAACCACATCAGTCACCCCTAAGCTTGCTTCACAAATGGAGCTACGAGCTCCTTACAAATTTGTTCACTAGCAGCTTTCTTGGCAGCTAGGTAAGGTTGATAGTAATCAGAGTGTGCCTCAATACACTTGGACATCGTTTCTTTGACTTCCAAACACCTACTACTTTCATCATCTTCCTCCACACAATGTAAAAAAGCTGTGAATATTTCTTTGCAGTCACCTCCTTCCATGAACTTGCAAAACCGCAAATACAATGCGTCTTGTCTCTCTTCCTCTTTTTGTTGGTTCGAATCTTCATTGGAGGGCATTAAGAAAGATTCCATCTCTTTCTCGAACACTTCTCCACCAGCTTCGATCGGCGCCAGAAGGGGCTGATAGTAATGAGGGTGAGCCTCCATACACCTCCTCATCCTCACAAAATTCTCTTCGGAATAGCAATCTTGCCAAGCCTTAATTGATTCTTTGCAAGAACCTTGTCTCATCTCCAGCAAATCCCTCGGGGTTTCGTACCTCGGGATTCGGTATTTTCGGAAACACGACTCTGAATTCCCCATTTTTTGTTTTCTCAGCCTTGAGATCGGATGTTTGTTAAAAGACACTTAGGGTTAAGCATCAAAAAAAGAAAAGCAATCACGTGAAGAAAAAAAATTAGGTTTAAGAGGGAAAAGAAAGGTTTATGGGCCTATGATAAGTAAGTTTTGGCCCAAAGTAAATGACAGTCACGTGAAAAGTATAGTTTGGCCCCATTTGTTTCCAATTCAATAAACCTGGTTGCAATTTCAATTCGTGAAAGCCACGCATGGACTTTTTTTTTAAACCAAATCCTTATTACAAACAAATTACAAACAAATCAAAACTCATAAAAAAAACACAATAATGTTGATAATCACAAAACCACAAACACCTCTCCGATATAAAAAATTTATAGTAACATGTAAACCTTTGATCCGACTTGGTTGTTGAGCCAAGCACAATAGAGACGTTTTTGTTGTCGTGGGAAACAATTGAAACCCATCTCAAGCAACTCTTCAAATCTTCTTTCTTCAACATACCTTCCAAACCTTACGACCATATCCTCTAAAGTCTTTGTGCTTTTAAGCACGAGTTCCATGAACAAAGCCATGTGCCTCGACTCAACATCTTCCATCTCATCTACGTAACAGTTTCCTTCTCATACCCGGCCAAACATAGTTTAATTGCCGGCCCAATATATATCTATTGAGTTTTAGAAAGCCTTCACAACACAGCCAACATACATTTGACAAAATGAGTTCGAGTCGTTTGAAAAAACTTTTAATAGTTCTGACTTCTGAACTTCTGAAATCTGAATATCTCACCAAGTCAAAATGAGTGATCACATACACTTCTTTCCTAAGAAGTTGGCCAATTGCAGGAACTTTTGAGTCAAAATGTTAAAAAACAGAGAAATATCCACTCTATCATCAACATAACTGTAACAAACACAAAGTAAAATGCGTTGTTTTTTTATGCTTTGCTTTCAAGAATTTCCCCAGGAAATGCCAGCTTAGTAATGGTAAAGTTTAAATTTTCTACGATCTGGTAAAAACAGAATTAACAAAGAGATATTGAATGAATGTTATGTCACTAAAATTAGTTCAAAGCCCTTAAATCTTGTCTCAGCATCTGACTTGATACACTATTGTTTACCATTCCAGTAAATTTCGGGTGAGCATATTCACGATGATGGTACTGATCATCAGCCTTCAAACTCTGTTCAGCTTCCTTAAAATACTTGTTGTCACTCCCAGTCCTAATCCAAGCAATATTGTTCAGGTCCGTTGATATAGAGATCAATTCTTGGTCTAACTCTGCAGAAGAATGTTCCTCATAATCCACAAACTCTGGTCCCAGCACCGAGTTGCACAGTGTTTTGTTGTCTGAATGGTTGCAGCAGCCGCGGCCGCATTTTGAAGGGACGATAGGTTCATAACAAAGAGACTGGAGAAATTTACCAGCCAATGAGCCGGGCCTTGATGCGTGAACCAAAGGTCCCTCACATGGAGCCATATGGTGGTTCATGTATCCTTGTTTGCAAACACTGAAAGCACCCATTCGAGCCACTGGGCGATAAACATCAGGTTTACTCTTCTGTTCCAGAAGAGGCTCGTTTGGTTCATTAGCCATTTGATCATCATTTACTACGGGAGCCATAAACGAATTGACTTCTTCTCGAGGTAAATGTTCTCTGGGGGATGTTTCATTTGATATCTTCCTGACCTTTGATGGATGCACTTGATATATTTCTGTACTAGGTATCCCTTGATGATCCTTCCATACATCTGCTGGTTTACGTCTAAGACTTGAGTTCCAGTGATTCTTAATGGCATTATCTGTTCTCCCAGGTAAGAGTTTAGCAATCACAGCCCATTTGTTCCCATGAACAGCGTGTGCAGACATTATCATATGATCCTCTTCATCTGCATTCAAAATCAATTTCATAACACAACATTAAACAATATGTGACGAAACACATAATTAAGAGAGTTATCATCAAAAAAAGCACATCTCTAGAGAATGCTAAAGCCTATTATAAAACCATCTCAATCTCCAAAAGATTCTGAATCTGCTAAAAAAAAGTTCATATCCAGAACATCAACAGCTAAGAGACCAATGTACAAATGAGAACATACAATCTCCTTCAATAAAGCAAAATCCTAATTTCAAGTCATAATATAATCACTTTACTCTAAATTCATATGAACCAAATCCACAAAATCTAGTCAGTTATCACAAAATTCAGAAAAAAAAAAACACAAAATCCGGAATCTGGAAACAAGGAGAATCATCATGACAAAGAAGATGGAGAGAAGGAGTTACCAGAGAAAGGTTTCTTTTTGAGACAAGGATCGAGCTGGTTACACCAACGCAACCGGCACGATTTCCCAGAGCGACCAGGGATCCCACGGGAGATCAGAGTCCAGTTTCTCGGACCACACTTGGTAACAAGCCTGGTAAGAGCCGCATCTTGCTCCGGAGACCAAGGTCCTTTCACTTTACTCCTTCCGCCGCCGCTGCTCGAGTCGCCTTTCGCTAACTCGGCGAGCTCTTCCTCAACTGCAGCGTTAATCGCATCTTCCGAGCCATCACAACCCGTAGAAAGATTCAGCGACGGCATTAGCTCCGGCGGATGAGAGATTGCTGCGTTCATCGGAAGCCAAAACTAATTTTTCGTCTTTGAGGATTAATAAAAAAAAAAACAAAAAATTTGAAATTCAAAAAAAAAAAGAAAAGAATGTAACCAACCGGGTCCTCTCTAAAGGTTTCTGTACCTGCCGAGGCTAACTGCAAAGTTGAGTGGGGGACTGTTTCGGTGTTTCTAATTACTATATTACCCTTTCGCTTACTCACCTTTTGTAACTTATATAATCCACAAACCGTTCCGTATGACTCAGAGTTGACCTTTTCATCTTCCAAATTATTAAATTTTGAATATTAATGAAGTTTGGCGGAATTATTTATTTAATGGTTTTAGATATTGCAATTAATTTCAATAAATACATAAAATTAAGCTTTAGTTAGAACTTAGAAAATGGCAGGCCAGGCCAAGCAAACCATAATCTCAATTCTTTAATCATGATGTTAGTAAGTGTGGGTTAAAATTATTATTCCGTGATAAGTCATTTGGAGCAAGTTTGAGTTTAACAACATTTTTACCCATTAATGAAATCAACGTTATTAACAGGAGACTGGACGACTAATTTCTTTTGACAAGTTTAACTTTGTTGGGTTAAAAATATGTGAATAGCTCTTGTACATTCACACTGTTCTTGCGCCATTCTGCACCATCCGGAAAAAATGATTCAGGTCTACCAAGATTTATAGTTGTTAAGTTGTCAAAATCTAGTTATCATGCATAACACATATATAGTACGTTGTAAACAACTTGTCAATGGCGGATGAAATATGTCAACAAACTCGTTCGGATAAGACTAGGTCATAAACCAAACCATAACTTCAAGGTTGGACCGTGATCGAAGATGAATTCTAATCGTGTACGTATCAAGTTTTCCAATATGGTTTTACATCATTTTTTAGAAACTGTTCATCATAATGTTTGGTTTATTTAGTCCTCTTTTTGTCAAACCATTCGTTTTTTTTTTGTTGCTTCTTTGATCTGTTTGCTAGTTCTAGGTCTACTTAATACAATGCATGAACTAAAGTGAAACTATTTATTTGTTAAGCATATCTTTACTTAAATTTTTTTACTATATGAGAGAAGAAAATAATGTACGATATAAAACTCAGTGGTAATTTCTAAATATTCACTTGACAGCTTTTTCAAACATTTTGGAAGAGAAAACTGATCATAGGAAGAGAGTGGGCCTAATAGTTTTGGAGGGATAGTTAAAGACATGTCCTATATAGCTAGACGATCAAGATTCAAATGCAATCATATGGTTGGCAAAAAAGTATGATATAATTTCTCACATATGTATACTATTATATATCAAATCAGAGGTTTACAACTTCGTAGTCTCACTGGACCAGTGATCAAAACACATAAATTACTGCTGTCAATAGCTACGTACTGTCCAAGAGCTGTCCAAAATCGACTAGTACTGTTACCGACACCGGGTTAAACGACCATCTTCACTAACCAGCTAACACACATATATCTATATATATGGTAAATTGTACTGAATATATAGATATGATGTCGCATATATAATGATGTTACCCTTCTAGAGAAGTAAAGAGAGGTAGTGAGCGACAAGAACACTACTGTGAGACTCGAGTTGTTGTCCTACGAAGAGCCGACAGTTTCATATATATGTTCTCTATACTCAGTACTTATTTCCATATGACTCCCTCCTGTTTAAGATTCTAATCAATATCTATTTCACTTTGATTTGTGTATTATCGACAGACCAGACATGCATGCTCATTTTACCCTACCATTTGCATGTAAAATGCATGTCTGCGTCCACAAGCACCTATTCCTCTACTAAACACATATTCGAGTGAGTGAGAACGCACACATTATACACGAACGAGCACTTCTGAAGGTGACTAAAACCTTTACCAAGTCTTTGAATTAGAAGAATTTATTTTAATCGTGGAGCTGAAGACATAATCTGCCATATATATAGTCATATTCGTCGATTCCATTATGACTAAGTCATTGTAGTCCTCCACTTTTCCCCACACGCGCATATACATAAACGCAAAAACCAACGATATATATATATATATATGCAAATATTAATAAGTGGCATATATGTGTATTAGTATTAATTATAGTATATATCACCTTATCCTACTATTTCCTTCACTGAGCATTCTTAATTTTGAAATCTATACTGAAAAGGACATCGATGTGGATAATTTGATTTTACAAAATTCATAATTATCCTCCCTGTTACGAATTCATATTAGAGATAATGCATATTGACTTTTCAGTTACTGATTTTCAAAGTTGTTCAAGAAAGCGAAGATTATATCTAACATTGTTTTGCATGTGATAAAATGTAAAGGGAGAAAATGACAATCATGTGCCTATAAGCCAGTTCATTATTGACATATGTACAATGCAAGTTTGATCGTATTAGAACAACTCCCTATATGTGTGTGTATATATATATGTGTGTGTAAACGATGTCTATAGCTTATATGCTGATACTATATACATACATATAGAGATGCATTGGATCCATTTAAATCACTTACAGGTCAATCATATGATATGACCATATCCTTGATCCCCTGATATATATGGTCATACGGTTGCAAGAGTATTATAACGCGATACAGAAAATAATTTACACAGAAAACAAGTTTATCATTTGACGTTTTTTGTGAATCAATGTGGCTTTCACCACTATACGTACGTGAAGGGTTTGATGCCAAAAGAGAAGGGGAACATTGATGGACCACACTTCTTTTGTAATATTAAAATAAGCCAACAAATTTGATAAAGCCAAAAATATATAATTGATAGTGTCACCCAACTTGTGGGGAATATATATATTTGCTATGGGATATATATTATGTATATATAGTGTGTTTTGTTTGGGCAGTTAAATTCTCAAGTAAACCTATTGCTTTATAACAACAAAATAATGAAAACATTTAGTCATTTTGGCTCGCATTACCCATCATATGAACAATGAACTTAAGAGCACAAAGATTAAGATCAGTCCATGTATTAAAAAGAACACATCTACAAGTCTACAACTTTGTGGTCAATAGCAAAAAACACCATATAAATTTACAGCATATGGCCATATGCTATTATTACGTACGTGCTCAATCCTCGTAACAAAATAGAGTAAATTATAACAACGAATAAATCACCTAAACCATATCCATATTTAGAACCAATAAAAGTATTTTGTATATTCAGTAGAAAGTAGAAACGTAAACGTCTGCTTTAGTGGTTAATTTACTTCTCAAGTCAATATAAAAATGGAAATCCAAAAGTGGGACAGTAATATAAATAAATAAAGTTGGAGGATCAGAATGAGAAAACTAAATTAAAGATAGCTTAAATGATTATTGTATTTAAAACCAAGAGGAACCTGGTCCATTGACAAAAACCACATTGCTCTCAGCTTTTAGAGAGAGGGAGAGAGGGAGAGAGAGAAAGAGAACGAATCATTCATAGCAACTAGAGGAAGGATCCAAAGGGATCGCATTGATCCTAAACTAAGAGGTGGATTCTCCACTCATTTGTTTTCTTAATAATTAGCAAACAAATCACAAAAAAAATTGCTTGGTTTTGGATCATGCCATCTCTTTGGATTCATCCTTGGGTAGCTTCATTCCTCTTTCGGTCAGGCTGTTTTATAAATCAACCGTCCTCATGATTCATCGGAGACCTTTCTAGCTTAAAGACTCCCCAAGCTTTCATCTCAAGCCAACATTAATACAGGTATACGAACTCTCTCTTTCTTACGGTTAAGTTTCAAATAGTTTTGACCTAATTAGCATGCAAAACCAAGAAAAGAAAGAAAATAACTCATCTACCTGAGTTTTTTCTTCTTCTTAATTGCATTTTTGGATCGAATCTATATACTATGAAAGATATGTCTTTATATAATTAATGATTCTATGAAGTACGTCATTATACATTATTTATCGTTGGTTAAAATTTCCCTGAAAATACCTCCATATATATATATATGGCCATTTCCGAAACTTTCTTTCTTCTAATAGATTGTTATATTTATAAATTTTACATTCATTCGAGACTCTACTTTGTTACTTATGCTTACTCTACTTCTTGGTTTAAAATCCCAGAGTCGTTGGATCTCGTAAAATGACTCACCAGAAAGAACTTTGACTAAAGAAAAGGACTTATTGGTTAAATATAATGTCCGTATTAGTATTATTGTGTTGTTAGATTCAAATCTGATATAAGAACAATTTGACATCTTACCCTAATCAGGTACTCAGTTTGTTTAATTATTTTACTGGCTCTAATCTAGCGCCTAATAATTTTAGTTTACAAATTAATATTAAAAAGTCAAATTTTTTGGGAATAGAATAATCTAAAAACTCCAAAGTAAGACTGCGAACTATTTGAAAATAGCAGCTCGCGAATTCATTTGAGGACAATATCATTAGTTCCATGGTATGGTTGACTAATTAATATTAATGCACATCGTATGGATACACATATATTGATATATATATCATATTATACCAAATGCATATCTTTACTTTTCATTCGTACAATCAATTTTCTCCCCCATAATGGAATAAAAAAAGCTAATCAGTTTGTATAAACTACATAAACAAAACAAATTGAAACTAGCATTTGAGTTGTAGAGAGAAGGAACACAATTATGGCATAGAATTTGATGTTGTTAAGGTGCCAAAGATTTTGGTGGACCGAAAGATATGGAAGAAGAGGACGATATGCTATATATGTATTTTGTTCATATATGCGACATTTGAAATTCCATTGTCTCCTTCTACCCCTACACATTTTGCTATTTACGTTTGCCCTTATTTTTTTTTTTTTACGGTTATTTGTTCCAAGATACATTTAGTACATACAACAAAATTTTACTTTTATTATAAAGAAGAGTTAAGAAATTTTCCTGTGGTGAAACTGTGAGCCAAAGTTTTCTTATGGTGATTTTACACATTCATAAATTAACACCTCGGTTTAAGATTTCTCATGGTGAGTTTTTCTACCGGTCCATGCAAAAGAACTCACTCCGTTTTCAGAGAGCCTATGATTTTGTCAGTCCAAACTGTTGTGCTGTTGGCTGGATTCAAAATCTCCTATCTTATTAGATCCATTATGAATTGTATATTGCAGTCTTCATGGGCTAAGCTTTAAAGGCCCAGTAGTGATTAGGCCTTACACACGTGTCACTCTATGCCTGTATATAGCACCTGGTTCTTCTGCTGCTCCCGTCTGCAGAACATGGGTTGGTGCCTGACAAGAGCCAGACGGAACCGTCGTAGAGGACATTGTGTCAAAGCTATCTCCATAATTATACCATGATATAACTATAAACTGAGCACGCATACATTACCATGGTACAAACAATTCTGAGGCCTAAACCCTTTTGGTTTAAAAACTGACTTGCACCGCCCAAAATTTTCGAACCTCTATATTTTGGGCATCCCAAAAGGATCAATTACCATTCACAATCATATAGTCAGCTCATACACATCTTGAATAATCAAAACCTTAATTATTCTCTTTATGCAAATTTTTAATTACAGCGAAATGATGAAGATTGGCATCTTCGTATCTTATACATCAATAATTATTGTACTCATGAACAGTCCTGCTCTTGAAACCTTATGTTAGTCAATTTTGTTACCAAATTTATATTCCTACCAAAATAAAGATGGTCTAAAAGATGTTTTCTCTTTTCTCTTTCAGTGTTAGAAAGAGTAATTCAAAGTTTGCTAACAGGAATCAAAATAATCTACACTTTTGTTATGAAATGACTTTGAAATTAATAGCGTCCACAACACTAAGACTCCTTTATATGGTCCACCATTAAGCATCTAGTATAGAAACGAGATATACTTATTCCTAATTTTTATTCTATCATATAACATTCATACATATCCTGTAGATGAACGTTTGATTTATGCATGTTAACTTCAATTTACTTGTAACCTACTAACCCAACTGCACCAGTGTTTTACATAAGGTTATAGCCCTGGAAAAAAAAAAACTGATTTCCTTTGTACATCACGATATAAAATTGTCATGAATATATTATACTTGATGACAAAAAAAAGAAAAGAAAAGAATATATTATACTATGTTTTTCTTTCAAAAAAAAAAAAAATATGCCGAAAAAAGAAAAATAATTATGGAGACCAAAAAAAAAAACTATTTACCCAAAAGGCCAAAACCCCACAAGGAACAAAAACTCCTGTTATAGAAAAGGAAACTTCACTAAGAAAAGGTTTTTAATATCCACCATCCAAATAATTCTCTCTTATTGCTAATCAAATTGTTTTATTCGCAGAAACAAAAAAAAAAACAGTTTTCTTTTGTGTCATGGTCACTAACGAGTGGCATATGATTTTAGTACGCCAAGTCACTAATATTTATTGATTACTTGAATGATCTCCCTTGTTTCATTATTTGCCATGTACAGAGTCGGATTACTAGTATATTGTAAAATTTGCTTTGTATAGTGGAATCGACTCGTTGTGGTACCAGCGCCGGTCCAAAGGCCAATGCTTCGGCCCTTGCTATTATATAAAACTTTCGGCCCTATTTTCCAAAATTGTTCTTGTGGTCTAATGGTTAAGGTGATGTTAGTGATGCTCTAGCCATCTGGGTTCGAAACTCCACGTTGATCAGTTTTAGTTTTTTTTTTCTTTTGTTTGTGGCCTTCAAAAACGTAGCGACGGCTCTGTGTGGTACTCAAGTAAATTTGCAGCCATAAACGGTAAAGACATCTAACAACAGTAACGAATCCATATCCTTAAGAAAAAAGCATTTTCAACAACTAGTTACGGAGTCGGTTGAAATTAATTTGTACAGTTGGAGTTGAGGAATGCAAGACAATCTGAGATGGCGAAGTCGTTGGTAAGTACTTGCTTCCAAAGATGGTTTTTAAGATTTGTAGGAAGTTGTGCCCTCTCTGCCATTAACCTCAGCCAATAGATTGAAACCTGCATGGCCCCGAATCAACTTGCTCTCCAGGATATAACTATGTAAATTATTATTTTTTATATCTATGAAAGTTGATAAAAATTAAAAACCCAATTGCATTTTTTTCTTATACTATACACAAACCAATTTACCAAGTGCTAATACCTCAATTAGTAAAGATCTCTGGCAGAAACTTAGAAGTCGCCGGTTCGAGTAGCGCTTGAGACGAAACCATATAACATGTTTTGGTTTCGGGCCTGAGGAGATGTATGGGCTTTGACCCAGAACCTCTTTGATTATTAAAAAAAAAAAAAATAAACAAACCAATTTTAAAGTTGTAGGACTTTCATATTTGTTGATTAAAAATATTACTAGGTATTGTGAGAAAGGAATTATATTGAAGAGAGTCACTTATCTTTTGACTAGGTAGAGAGTAAAAAGCACATATGGAACATAAGACGTTAGACCATGTGCAGCGGTTATTCATCCCACATTTTTTTAAAATTTTAGATTAAAAAAATAACAATCACTTGCGGGCCGCTACGTGTCAATAGAACCCGCGAATAGTGAAAAAAGAAGGTGCATGACCATCCTATATTAACAAACGTCCTTTAATTTTTTTTTTTGATTTATTTTTGGGAACAAATTTATGTGTGAGACTTCTACTATGTACACCAATGTACATGGTCTTAGTTTAATTATATAATCTTTCATTTTTTTTTAACAATTGATATAAGAAGTTTTCAGCGCATATATCAGCCTAACCAATATTGAAAATATAAAACCATGCAAATCGCTATCAACATTTAAACATTTTGATAGTATATATACTTAACGTGTTTTTTTCCCTATAATCAAACTAATAATACAAATAATTTAAGAAAACTCATAAAATCCAAGTACAAATGTATAAAAGAAAATAAAACTTTATCTAAATATAACTGAAAAATAGTAAACAATACAGTAAGATCGAGATCAGATCGTTATACTTACAACCATCCGGATGTTTCAAAATAGATACTACAACATCACAATTCACAACTCTTCAATGAAATCATACCTTTTTAAGTTTGAAGTATAAAAGAGTTCAGTTTACTTATCAATAATTAGTAATACTAAAGTATTTATTTTTCTCACTTATATTATATTATCAATATAGCTTACTAAGATTAAATTATTCGTCATCAGAAAAGTATCTTCTTGAAATTCTGAAACCATTAGATTTGCTTTATAAAATAAAATAAGGAAAACTTGGCAATAAATAAGAAAACAAATCAGTTGACACTTGACAAAAGATAATAAAAAACACATATTTTACAGAAAATAAAAATAATAAGAATAAAAAACCTCAATAAAAAACGATGGATTGTTTTTAATTAAAAAATCGATGGATTGTTAATATTTTTTTAGTGAATGAAAGATGGGTTTTTTCAATTAAAAAATAAAAATATATCGGCATTCTTATAGGATCTCTCTCATGCAAAGCAAAGCAAAGCAACAAAAATTCAGACAAGAAACCTCAACGGCTCAGACCAACCCACCAATATCTTTGCTTCTTAATTTGTTACTCTGTCTCTCAAGTAAATAAGAAGAATCAGCAGCACTAACTATATATATATATATATATATAAATAAATAAAAGGATCCAGCTTTTTTAATTTCTTCGATTCGATTTCTCTAATTAATATCTTTGCCCTTTCTTTTTTGACTGATTAGATTTGTTGTTTTTGGTTTTCTGATCAGTTGCGAATCGAGCTGGATTCTTGCTTCCTTTATTTGTTTCTTTTTTCCTTTCTAATCAATCAAAAGGTTTTTTTGTTTTTGTTTTTCTCTGGTAATTAGTGAAGGAGATAAATTCGCTAAAAAAAGAAGCGAATCTTTTTTGTTTTTGTTGGTAAAAATTATAAAAGCTGGCTTTCTCAAAAATTCTTCATGTGGTCGACCAAGGAGACGAAGAAGAAGGAAGAGAACGTCTCTTAGCAGCAACCATGACCGCCACCGAAGCTAAGAATCGCAAAACCATTGTCGGAGACGACGATCTCGAAATCCCTGACACTGCTCATCAAATTAGCAGCGGTTTGTTTTCTTCTTTTCCAATTTTTTATTACTGGAACCCAATTGTTGTTGTTGTTGTGTTTTTTTTTTTCTTTCAATTTTGTTTCGATGATAATGTGTTTGCTGCATAGATGTGTGTGAAAAGTTTTGATTTTTTTTTTTTTAATTAAAGCTTTCCCAATTTCAATTTCTTTAATACTTTTTGGGTTTATTAAAATAATGAAAAAAATTGACCAGGAAGAAGATATAAAGAGAGAATCCCATTAAGCTAGCTGCTTCTTGTAGTTTTGAGATAACTTTGCTAATGATGATGACTCTGACTACGTATATGTGTTGACCTTGATGATTTTGACGATGACCCTTCCTTTAAATTGTTGTCTTTAATGATCCTGGGATGAGATAATTTGATATGGAGTACACATTTTCTTTGGGTTCTCTCTTTCTGTCTTTCAAAAGATTGGGAGCTTTTGCTTTGCCAAAACTCTGCTTTCTACTATATAGATAAGCTTTCTTTGTAAGAACATTGGCTTTGATGATCATGTAATGTGATAATCCGATATGGAGTTCAAGTTTCTTGATGGGTTTCTCCTCCGTCACTCTCAAAATGTTTTACAACCATATGATTTGGGAAATTTTGTTGCTTTGCCAAACTCTGCTTTCTATAATCTGAGGTCTCACATTTTGGGAAGCTTATAGTATGTTTTGTGGGATTTGCAGATTCATGGTTTCAGGTGGCGTTCGTTTTGACCACCGGTATAAACAGTGCGTATGTGTTGGGATATTCAGGAACAATCATGGTTCCTTTAGGTTGGATTGGTGGTGTAGTTGGTCTTATTATTGCTACTGCAATTTCTCTCTATGCAAATAGTCTCATTGCCAAGCTTCATGAGTTGGGTGGCAAAAGACACATTCGCTATAGAGACCTTGCTGGATTTATTTACGGTAAAAAAGACCAAGCCAGCTCTCTTAGTTTGCTTTTTGTTTCTCTGTTACTTTCATTGAAATGATCTCTCTTTTTATCAGGTAGAAAGGCTTATCATCTTACATGGGGATTGCAATATGTCAATCTTTTCATGATTAATTGTGGATTCATCATACTAGCTGGTTCCGCCTTGAAGGTATAGTAAACGTTTTTTCTCTCTTGGTTCTTGATTTCTTGAGCCAAGTTAGTAATATTGGGGTGTGTTCTGTGTTTCTGCAGGCTGCTTATGTGCTTTTCAGGGATGATCATATCATGAAACTACCTCATTTTATAGCCATTGCTGGTTTGATTTGTGCGATTTTTGCTATTGGGATTCCTCATTTATCAGCTCTTGGGATTTGGCTTGGAGTTTCGACCATCCTCAGTCTCATCTACATTGTTGTGGCAATCGTGCTATCGGTTAGAGATGGTATAACTTAAATGATGACCATTCAACATTACTTATGGGCCTAACTACTGAAAATTTCTGATACTTGGCTCTGATTTGTATGTTTGTAGGAGTAAAAACACCACCAAGAGATTACGAGATACAAGGATCATCATTCAACAAAATTTTTACCATCACAGGAGCAGCAGCTAATCTGGTTTTCGCATTCAACACCGGGATGCTTCCTGAAATTCAGGTGATCTATTCCAGATTTCAGCTTCATGTTTTAGGCTTCAAATCCATTTCTATGTTTGTGGTTGCTTATCTCTTTAGTGTATTGTTTAAGTTGATCAAAATTTGTTTGTTAAGTATATATTGACATTATAAGTTCCACAATGATAGGCAACAGTGAGGCAACCGGTTGTAAAGAACATGATGAAGGCCCTATACTTTCAGTTCACAGCGGGTGTTTTACCGATGTACGCGGTGACATTCATCGGATATTGGGCTTACGGGTCCTCAACCTCAACCTATCTGCTAAACAGCGTCAATGGTCCACTCTGGGTCAAAGCCCTTGCTAACATATCAGCTATCCTTCAGTCCGTTATCTCTTTGCACGTAAGTTTCTCTTCAAATAACCAGAAATGTCTAAAACTGTTTGTGAGCCAGTCCGTTCTTTTCTTACTCACTTCTTTGTTGTAGATATTTGCGAGTCCAACATATGAGTACATGGACACAAAGTTTGGGATCAAAGGAAACCCATTGGCGATAAAGAACTTGCTGTTTAGGATCATGGCGAGAGGCGGGTACATCGCGATAAGCACGCTTCTCTCAGCGCTCTTGCCGTTCCTGGGTGACTTCATGAGCCTCACTGGTGCAGTGAGCACATTCCCTCTCACATTCATTCTAGCCAATCACATGTACTATAAGGCTAAGAACAATAAGCTCAATTCTATGCAAAAGCTATGGCATTGGCTGAACGTTGTCTTCTTCAGTTTGATGTCTGTTGCTGCAGCCATTGCAGCTGTCAGGCTCATCGCTGTTGATTCCAAAAATTTCCACGTTTTTGCAGATTTGTAATTCATTATATATAGTTAAAAGTGTATGTTTATTCTTAGGCGGGGTTTATTTCTCCTACCATAATCTTGTATCCTCTGTTTTTTACTTACCATTAGAGAAAAATATACATAAATAAGATTCTCGAAATTCAAAAAGCATACAAATGACCACTTTCATCATATCATTTTCGAAAATTTAGTACCATGAAATAATTATGAGTCAATTATACCACTTTTTCATATGAACTTAGTATAATTGGAAAATACACTATTATAATAAAGTGGTTTGAAAAATAAAGAAATAGCTTGATGGTCTCCCAAAGATAAATATAATTGAAAATTTCCATCTAAATTAAAAGTTTATTACTTTATATCATTTCAAGTGAAACCGGTGGTTGTGCTGATGTTTTCTATGAGCCCACATATTTCAGAGATTTGTGAGTGGCATTTTCTGAAAATCAGTTGTAATAGTATCCAAAAGAAGAAGAAACAAAACTAACCTTATAATCTTTATATTAACCATATAAGAATTGAAACAATGTTGAATTATTGAAAATTAGTTGTAACAAATTGTGTTATCCATCATAGAAATAAAATGGTTTATTCTGTAATCATATTAGAGAAGAGTACAACAAACAGGTAACTAAAAATGCTTAATTTAGTGAAATAGAGAAGAAAAAGAAACAATACTTTGTTGGTTTCTTAGTTAAAAGGATTATTTTGATGAACCTAATCTTTCAATGATTTGCTGTTTAATTTTCAAAATTAAACAATAATTTAGCCAGGCCAAAGTGGAACCCCACTGTCTCCACCAAAGCTCAACATAAAAAAAAAAAAAAAAAAAAACACGAAAGCGTTTATTTTGTGACATCGTGCTACATAATCATTACCTTTCATCTTCATCATCTTCTTCTTCCTTTCACCTTAATCTTCACGCAGCTGCAATCTTACACCTGCATTTCTCTCTTCTCGATTTTTGGGTTTCCTTTTTTTGGTTGATCAGATCGACAAAGAGGTAACCATTTTGCCGTCTGTTACTTATTTATTCTGTTAAAAATCAGATTTTCTAATTCCTGTAGAAAAAAATAAAAGATTCGATTTTTGTGTTCTGATTTGATCCACGGATCGATTTGTTTGAATACTCTGAATCAATGCAAATAGCTAATGTGAAAAGTCAAGAATGTGTGATGGGATATTCTCTTAAACCTCTCTTTGTGTTGTGGTTTTTGAAATGTTTATAGAGGTAGACTAAGAGGTTTTGAGGTTAGAGATCTTTGGGGGCAGAGGACAATCGTGAAGTCAAGAAAACGATGTCGTTTACAGGAACTCAGCAGAAATGCAGGGCGTGCGAGAAGACAGTTTACCCTGTAGAGCTTCTCTCAGCTGATGGAGTCTCTTATCACAAGTCTTGCTTCAAATGCTCTCACTGCAAAAGTAGACTTCAAGTGAGTTTTTTTTTGCTCTTTTGCTTTCCCCTTCGTGACTCCATGTACGAGTGTTTGATCAATTCCTTGTTATCTTTATGGATGTTCTCATGTTTACTGAAATTCAAGGTTCAAGCTTTAACACTATAGCTTGAATGGCCTAGTTTCACATTAGCAATTCCTGGATTAGTTACTATTTGTGTGATAGTTTAATGGATTCATGAGGAGATTCTCTAGACAGAGTTGTGGGGTTTTCCGAGTATTCACCAGTGGAACTTGAATGACCAATTCTCCATAACGCAAATCTTATATGTAGTTATTAGCATTGTGAAAGTTTTGAGGGTTTCATGAAGAGTTTTATCTTATACTTGATCTGAAGTGGTCTTCTTTTGATCAAGTTAAAAATTGTTGCTGGTTTTTGAACAGCTGAGCAACTATTCATCAATGGAAGGAGTGGTGTACTGTAGGCCTCATTTTGAGCAGCTCTTCAAGGAGTCTGGTAGTTTCAGCAAGAACTTTCAGTCACGTATGTTACTCTTTTCTAACTTCACCTTTTGATCCAACTTCTACTTGTGGTGTCTTACTTTAATTTTATCTACAAACTCTCTTCCCTTTCACAGCTGCAAAGCCATTGTCTGATAAGCCAACCCCTGAGCTGGTAACTGCTTCTTAACAACGCGTCCATGATTTTATTTAGTTACACGAGTTGAGATACATGACTCTATACTCTTCTTGGTTGTTCTCAGACAAGGACACCTAGTCGAGTTGCTGGAATGTTCTCTGGAACGCAAGACAAATGCGCTACTTGCAATAAAACCGTGTATCCAATCGAAAAGGTTAATATACATTCTCAGTCTTATACATTGCTTTCCTCTTCAGCTCTACGCTCTTTCTGTGATCTTTTTTTTTGGGAAAATCACATTAAAACTTGTCGTTTGGATCATTCGCAATACGAGTCTCCTGGACCTGGAACTGGATCATTTACTTATATCATCTTGTTCTGTTTTCTACAAAACTGTAGGTAACTGTGGAAAGTCAGTGTTACCATAAATCTTGCTTCAAGTGTTCTCATGGAGGCTGTCCCATATCTCCATCGAACTATGCAGCACTTGAGGGAATTTTGTACTGCAAGCACCATTTCGCTCAGCTTTTCAAGGAGAAAGGAAGTTACAATCACCTCATCAAATCTGCTTCCATCAAACGCGCTACTGCTGCTGCCACAGCAGCTGCTGCAGCTGTAGCAGCCGTTCCCGAATCTTGAATTCAAGTTCTCTGTCCAGTTTTAAGTTAACAAGTTCAGTCTATTTGTCTTTGTATCTGTGATGTGTTTTTTTTTACCTGTATTCGCTCTTCATGTTCTTGTCTTCCATCATGAACCAGGCATCAAATTCTCCGAGGTCTCTCTGAGTTTCCTTCTTGTGATACATTTAATAACTGAGACTTTTGGCTCTGATGTTGGTCTTTCGAGGGGGACCGAACCGGCATATTAGACCGGACAGACATATCGTTAACTGTAATCATGTCCGGTCCGGTCCGGTTCTTCGTTAAATTTTTAAAAAATTTCCAGTAAAACAGAGTAGCCCAGATTGAATCGTGTGTAAACCTAAGTAAAGGCTAAAGAAACGAACTTTGCAAAAGAAAATTCTGAACTTTCGAAAGATGAACACAACCTCTGATCTCCATGACCGTCTTCTCGGGTGAGTGACTTAGTTATCTCTCTTTCTGCCCTTTACTGTTTACTTGAAGAACCCTAATTTTGATTTGTTTGGAGGATTCAGATTATCTGAACCAATAGCAGAGATCCTCAGACGTACACAGTACACACCACAAGAGAGTAGCAAAGTATCCACCAAAGACATACTCTTTTCCCTGTTACCAAACACTTCTTCTCCTCACCGAGTCAATGAAGAAGAAGACGGTCATGCTTTGATCAAGAATCTCGCGCTTGCTTGTGCACTCCTCTCTTCTTCACGTTCCTCCAAGCACGAACTACTCTCATGGATTCCAGAAAACCTCTCTGTCATTGGGGAATCTACATTTCGCGAGATTTCAAGGGATCGTTTCAGTGATTTCCCTCACAACAGTAATGCTGAGGAGCTCGAGGGATTGGTAGTTGATAGTGGGAAGATTGAATTGTTGCCGATTGTTTTGCCAGAGTTAAAAGATACAATTTATAAGAGTTCACTTGGTAAGAACAATGATGCAGATGATGTTTCAGCTGTAATGGCGAGAACACCTGTTGGTAATGCGATCATTGCGGCTCACCAGCTCAGGTGGTTTGTGACTCAGGTCTGAGTTATAAAAATTAAGAATTGCTCTGTTCTGTTGTGAATAAATCCAACTTTATACTTTTGGAGGTATTTGATGTCATCTGTTCAATATGTTCGATTTGATAGGTTGAGAAACCGAATTTGGTGAAATTTTGCAACTTGGTGGTTCCTTGTGCTTTGACAGCACTTGATCATTGGTCTCCTGAAGTCAAAGTAAGTCTTTTGAGATGTAGAGATTGATGAGTTTTGTCTGATTAGTTGTAACATGATGCGAAATCCTCTAAGTTTTGTTAGTTAAGGCTCCTCCGTTTTGGAATATCTCAAGGCATAGTGAGCTTGATAATCTCTTTCTTTGCTTGATGACAGGGGCAAGGTATGATAAGCTTAGTTCATCTCGCTAAAAATGTGACTTCAGGTGACCTCGGTTTGTATGGAGATGTGGTTCTTGATGCGTGTTGCCAGAATATAGCTTCTGATGATGAGATTTGGATACATGTGGTAGAGTTATCTGTTCTTCTTGTGACTAAAATCCACCCAAATAATCCCCGTAGCCCGTGGTATAATAAATTGTCTCTATCTTGTCAATTGTATTTATGAATATATTTTCCATTCTCAAAATCTTTGCATTGCATTCAATTTAAATCATGTCTCTCGATAGATTGGTTCGACTGCTCCATCTTTCTCAACTCTTCTTTTGCAAATTTTGAAAATTTCTTGTTTAGGTACGAGAAGATTATGAATGAGATGCTTGGCCATTTGGAACGCCAACCAATAAATAAGGAGCGACGTATCACTTGGCTAAGATTCCTCGAGCCACTCTTGAACGCTCTAGGGCTTTTCCTACTTGCTCATTTTCGGCGTATCTTCCCTCTTTTCTTTCACTGGATGCATTCAGACGACGCTGAAACTGTTTTGTTGGTATTGAATTGTTCATCTTGTAGATATGTTAGACTAGCCTCATTCTTACATTCTTTAATATAAACATGAAAATATTATTACCTGCAAATACCATATAGGTTCTTGAGAGACTGGAGACTGTTGTGAGGTTGACGTGGATTAGAAACTCACCTGTGATCCCAAGGTTTAAGCCTCTGAAACACTAAAGAGCAGTATATTATCCTCTCTTATCCACTCGTTAACATCAATCCTCTTATGATTTTGGATCCTCAGATTGGTGAAGGAGCTAGTTTCCTTGTACAAAGAGTCATCAACTCGTAAAGATCGCGATGATATTAGACCTCTTATCCTCCGTATCTTGATGCTACTCCGCCAGTAAGTTTCTATGGCTTATTAAATGCACTACCAAGGATTGTTCACATGTTATCTGTTTTATGTAAGCTCCATGTATCTCCCTCTTTCACAGGTGCAAAAGCGTACAGTTTGTGTCAGCTTGGAGTCAGTACCAGGAGGATCCAAATCTGAGCACTGTTAGTGAATATATATGGGCTACCTCGACTTAATCTCAAGAGCTTCTGTTTGACTTATAGGCTTACAGTTCACGACAAAAGCAGGCATTCTTATGGTTTGTGACTAAAGCAGCCATTCTTTTTTCTTCTAATTCTCGATAGTTAGTGTTGTCTAGGCCCAGTGGTGCACTGTAATTACTGGCTAACATCGAATTTCTCTTTTTGTCTTATTGTATGAATTTGGTTCTTTGACTCTTAAGCTATACTGATTTGCTGCATATTCTTGGATACATGACAACCTCACTTTGTGATGTTGATATTGACCAAAAGACAGGCCAAATTCAGGAAATTGTAGAATAAACTATATGTATACATGAGACATTGAAAAATTACAGTATGTCTCTACATTATCTTTGAAACCGTAATAAAACAATTACATAAAACTCTTGAGAATTTATACACATCAAAGTCCATGATCTCATCTTTCAGTGTAATCCGAAACATCATCATAAGCAAGGCTTGGAAGTTTAAACAGACGCTTGCTTTGCCAATTCCACTGGCCTCTTAACACATCCATATGATTACCAATTACTCCGATTACACAGTGACCTCTTTCTAACTCTTCCTTTTGTCTTTTATCTTCCCTGCAATAAGAGAATATAACTCCTTTTAACAATCTCTGGCTTTTTCTGCTATACTTTGATATGGAATGAGATTAGCAGTTGAAGTTTATTACAAACCTCATGATCAAATGTGACCAATCGCTGTATCCTCTAGATTTTAACTGCTCGATTGTGGCGTCCCGCTCTCTTTCTGGTCTTCTTGATAATAGAGCCATTGTATAACCATGTGATAGTAGCTTGAAATATAGTTTCAGTGTTAGTTTGCTTCTCTGATGCTTTGCTTCTTCGATATACTTCATATTATAACTATCTTGTTCTAATCTACATAGAGAGAAGAAAAACAAAAAGTTTACAATTTGAAAAACTTGCAGAAAGAAAATGAAAAAACCAAACAAACACTTACAGATTGGTGTCATCGATCTCGATCACAACAACATCGCGGCTATCGTTCATCGGTTTGATGGTTTGAAAGAAAGTGAGAGCCATTTGGATAGTGAAGTTCAACTCTCTCAAGTAGATTCCCTGTTTGATTCTGCGTAAAGCAACATCTCTGCATAACAATGGTAATTGGGTGTCTTCTTCTTGCAAGCTATTGAGCTGAGAGTGCAAAGACAAGATTCTGCAGTAACTGAAGTTCTCTTCAAGTCTTTGAGCCTCGACGACTCCAATATCTCGGCTTTCACAGCTCTGTAACATGGTTGATAAAGCTATGAGAAGTGTTATCATCAAAACTCCAAATGTCACAAGAGAACCTATGAAGATGGAAGCTGCTAAAGATGTCATGTAACATCCAGATTCTATCGAAAATCGACTCCCCAGTTCTGCAAAAAAAAAAGAAACAAAGACTGTAAACTCTGATTTAACTCAAGAATCAGACCAAACTCAGATGTTAGAAGTTAGAAGAGTATAAATATTACCGGAACCACCTCGGCTGGATAGACCGGAGAATTCCCTCTCCATCTGATGAGCATAAGCCGACATTTTCACATATGAAGATGATGATCATAAACCCATCACTGATAGTTTTTAGAAGACAAAATGGTAACAAGAAAAACAAAAGTTTAATTTGTTTTTTTTTGTTTCCAAAAATATTGAAGATTTTATGAAAATTGTGTTGATCTTTTATTAGTTTACCTTGTTTGTAGTCGTAGAAGCCTCAAAAGCGAAAACAAATCTTGATTTGATCAAGATCTGCAAAGAAAAAGATCAGCGGGCATGGTCACAAGAAAACAGAGAACATATACACGTGACTTTATTATTATGGTGTCAAACAGATCCCCGCCCAACTTGATTAATAATGCTCAGTCATCAGTTTATCTTCTTTACTCGATCAACTAAACAACACATTCTCTTCTATTCTTCTATTTCCAATTTTGACGGACACACACAACAACAAAAAAAAGTTAGAGAATCAGACCAAACTTATCTTTACATTCAAAAATGTATCCATATCGCGGCTAAAATATATATAGGATTGATTAGAAAATGGAATTAGCTGCTAAAACAGATCATTTCTTTACTCGAGAAGATAAATGAGAAGAGAAGAGATGAGATGAGATGACACCAGTGTCAAACATTATTGATGCCAATTATTAGTTTTTTTTTTTTTCTCAAGTAAATGAAAATTTATTAGTCTACAGCTTCTTCAACCAATGATTTGATACGAAAGGGTAATATGATTTGCTATCATGCATATATAGTCGATATCATATGTCTTCATTAATCATCCATGCATAACCCATTACAAATTACCTATATAATCGGAATTTGAAAAACATAAAAGATCAATATTTTTTAACATACGGTTGAAAACTTATTGTCGCTTGGTATATATTATTATTTTCATTTTTCTTTTTGAGCATAGATTGAAACTTATATTACATATATATGTACGTATTTGACTCTTATGGCATATACAAACAAGACAATTCAACCGTATATATGTTTTAGAGAACCTGTTGAAGAAATCGTAACCGGGTCCTCATCGCGTCATTATCATATATGGCCTCTCCTTAAACCGAAAAGCTCCTCTCCTATTTTTATATCTTTCGAAATCTCTCGTCGAGATATGGAGAAAGGATATGTACCAAATGTTTTATTTCTATGCTCTCTTTTATAATCAGAACCGATTCCAGTTGAACCATAATTAGTTCCAATTTTTATAAACTACGTACAGAGCTAGCTAGGAATCTCACAAATCGACATTTAATTTTATCTATGCTTTATTAGTTCTTTTAAAAGTGTTAAGTTCGTAATGCTTTATACTCAAAACTTCTCTCAAATGATGCCATTTTGCAAATCTTTGTGCATGTCATATATGTTACAGTGTTTTGAAGCCAGATAGCTTATCTTAACATAATAAAATAACCTTTTTCTTACATCTTCAAGCTTTTAACCAATAATAATATGATTTCAGATCACAAAAATTGGTTATAGCTAGCTAGTCCTAGTCGTCCGTACAAAACCAAATGGCTCTGGAGTTTTGGTTACTCACGTAACAAGCAATATATATATACATATACATTCAAAAAAAAAAAATATATATATATATACATATATGGCCATTTTAATCAAAATTCTATCTTTTTTATTTGTAATTAATATTTTAAGATATGTATCTCAATCATCAATTTGTGTGTATATGTGACGTATACGACAACAATTCAAAACGTACGTTACCAATTGATTATTATCAACAACTTAGATTTTTTTGTTTGGAGTTGGAAGAATCTGAAGTAAAGGGTCCCGGCATCATCACCATGCATGTTAGTATATATGTATGGTCACAGCTCCTTTTGAATACAGTTTTCTCTAAATAAATTTATACTACTATTTATTTGTATATATAGATATATGGTCCCAATGTCCTTTTGTAGATATTTCAAGTATCTTACCATTAGGTAACGTGTTACAATAATTTTTTTAAAAAATGGGATAATTTTTTCTAAAATTTTGAACACATGCAGCTCTTATGGTTAGTACACTAATATAAAGTTTAAACACATTTCCTTTTAAGTTTTAACTTAGGTTGTGGTTGTGGATGTACTGATGCACATGCTATTTTGTCACACATAACTTTGTTTTGTGTGTTAATCCGGTAAATATATTTGATTGATTTTGTAAATTTACTTGGATTTTTTTTCCTTTTATCAAAGTTATATACATTGATATTGTAAAAACATATACATATGTGGGTTGCGTATAATCGTCTTAAATAAAATATCTCTTTGAACGAACTAACGTCAAAAAAGAAAAGAAAGAAGAACAAACAATTAAAACGGACGTGCATGCTGTAATTTGTACAAACAAATTTTCTGATAGCAGAAGTACATGTTAGTGGGTATATGTCTTGAGGCCCATATTTAAGCCCATATATTACCCATTTGTAACGATAGCATCCTTTTAAACCGATAAACTTATTTTTAAGTCGAATTTGGAAATTGCTTTGTAATAATAAAAACAAAATTATAAGAAAATATCAAAATGATCATCACACACACTATGAGTGTCAAACACTTCGTCGTCTCTCTTTCATCACTCCTTTGAGCTCTAAGAAGAGCTTTCCATGGATGCAATCAAATGCAGCTCTAGTTTCCTCCACCACACCAAGCTGAACACTCTCTTCTATAACCACTCTTTTCCTAGAATCTCCACTCCCAATTTCAAGCGCATCTTCCGGCCAATATCGATTTCGGCAAAGGACAGAAGAATCAGCGAAGCTGAAAACGTTGCCGTAGTGGAGAAACCTCTTAAATCAGATAGATTTCTCGTTTCCGATGGTCTTCCTTCACCATTCGGCGCCACCGTCAGAGAGGACGGCGTCAATTTCTCTGTTTACTCTGCAAACTCCGTTTCCGCCACCATCTGCTTGATTTCTCTCTCCGATCTCCGTCAGGTATATCCTTTTTAAAGAGAGTGTTTTTGGGTTTAACTGATATTTTTGTGAAACCCCTTTTTGAATTTGGGTTTAATTTCACGTTGCAGAACAAAGTGACGGAGGAGATTCAGCTCGATCCATCAAGGAATAGAACTGGGCATGTCTGGCATGTGTTTTTGAAAGGGAATTTCAAAGATATGTTGTATGGTTACAGATTTGATGGCAAGTTCTCTCCTGAAGATGGTCACTATTATGACTCTTCTAACATTTTATTGGATCCTTACGCAAAGGTAATCAAAATTTTGATGTTTTCTGAGTAAAGAAATAGAGCAGCTAAACCACTGACCCGTAGACAATCTTCTTGGCTTGGCTATAACTTTCTCCCTTTGTTTGGTTTGGTAGGCAATTATAAGCAGAGATGAGTTTGGAGTTTTGGGACCTGATGAAAATTGTTGGCCTCAAATGGCGTGTATGGTGCCCACTCGTGATGAAGAGGTACCATGATTTTTATTATGCTGTTCTAATTTCTTTTGGATGATATAAATATACTCTTTAATAAGTGATTCTACTGATCTTGCTGCTCTTCAGTTTGATTGGGAAGGGGATATGCATCTGAAGCTGCCACAGAAGGATCTTGTTATATATGAAATGCATGTGCGAGGTTTCACAAGGCATGAATCTAGCAAAATTGAATTTCCTGGAACATACCAGGGTGTTGCAGAGAAGCTTGACCATTTGCAGGTACTGGTTCTCAAACACATTCTGTTGAGAAAACTTTGAACTGTTATTTTGGAACAAGCTTACTATAAATAGTCTCTAGGTGAAATTTTGACAATATCAGTAGCTTTGTTGATAACATATTCATTTGTTCAACACTGAATTCCTCCTTTCTGATCATTGTGGGGTAATGATATCCCAGTTTATCAACTTTAATTATGGTATGTCGTACATATGACTATCTTTGTTTGCAGTTGCTATAAGCTGTCCTCAGTTTTGCAAAGAGCTTATTTGTTTAATTCAGAAGAGATTTTGGTGATTTAACCGATACAAATATTTCTATTTTGGGTAAAAATGAGCACACAGTTTCATTAGTTTTCGGTTCTAATAATATCTGCTTAGCTAGAACCCTCATCTAACTGAAAATATCATCAAGTAGAGATCAGGGATGTCAACTTAATTTGTTTACATATTTACAGGAGCTTGGGATAAATTGCATAGAATTAATGCCATGTCACGAGTTTAATGAGCTGGAGTATCACAGCTACAATACGATACTGGGAGACCATAGGTAAGCCATAGACCATGCCTTTTTTGATGAAAATACCTCTACTGGTTTTTGCTCTTTCATTTTTTTTTATCAAGTGTCTTCTAGTATGAGCAAACTACATAGTGGAAACACTCAATGTTAACATATGTGGATGATAGCATGTATTAATTATTCTAAAGAATTCTTCAACTAGGATTTTTGTTCTCTCAGGAAACTTCAGATTAATGAGGGGTGAAATAACTTAAAAGATAATATCATATATCTGGAATGGAAAGAAGCTCTCTCACATGAAATTATACTATCTTTAATTCTCACACGATAACTCAGTTAAATGTTGGATATAGCATGTATAATCAGGTTGTCTTGCTTGTTCAGGGTAAATTTTTGGGGTTACTCTACTATTGGATTCTTCTCACCCATGATCAGATATTCATCGGCAAGCTCTCGCAGCTTTGCTGGAAGAGCCATAAATGAGTTTAAAATTCTTGTTAAAGAGGCACATAAACGAGGAATTGAGGTGACAACTAGTCTCCTAGTAGCTAAGTATTTGTTGTTAGGTTTACGGATGCAGGTCTTGATAGATTTTAAGCAGGTAATCATGGATGTCGTTTTGAACCACACAGCTGAAGGCAATGAAAAAGGACCCATTTTCTCATTTAGAGGAGTTGATAACAGTGTCTATTACATGGTTGCTCCAAAGGTAAAGCTCATCAAGCAGTCATGTGTTTCTTTTGTTTCGTTGCTTAGAGAACAAGAGACAATCAAAAGATCTGTGGGGTTAGAATCTAAAATCTAGGACTCTTTTTCTTCTGTCATTTGAAACATAAACTACATTCAATAAATTAAGTCGCTTTGCTGATTTAAAGTTCTTGATTGGTCGGTTCAGTAACTTATCATGCATCAGAAACCTGTAGAACTGCCTTTTAAATTTTCTGCATGACCTTTACATAACTCTGCTAGGACTAGAAAAATAGTATATATTCCACCTAGTGATGATTCATAATGCTTTTGGTTTCATAGTTTGTAGACTCATACAGATAATTCTGATATGATATGTTTATCAATGAATCTAAAGTTTAAGCATATTTTGTGATTTAACAGGGCGAATTCTATAACTATTCAGGCTGTGGTAATACATTCAACTGCAATCATCCTGTGGTGCGTCAATTCATAGTAGATTGCCTGAGGTAGTTCCCAAAAATAGAGCAGATGTATTGCTTGGCTTTTTTGTCAAATTAAGTCTGTTATGTTCATTGTTGTTCTTGCGAACTCTCATGGTCTCGTGTCTAGGCTGCATTTGTTACAAATAATTTTAGGCCATTTGTTTATGATGACATCTCGTTTATAATGTAATCCTTATATTCCACCCTGGTTACTTTGAATTTTTGACTCAAGAATCCTTACACTAGGTTGATTTCCGAAAATGTATTGA